GGGGGGGGGGGGTTGGCTCAGAGTCACGTATTTTATGATGGGGTGTACTGTTAGCTGTCACACACTGTCACAAGGGGGTAGGGAGGGATAAGAAATTGGCAAAAACAGGGTAACGTATTTTGTGAATGGCCCAAAATCCGACCTACCCAGCCTAAGTTTTTGCAACGAGAAATAGGGAGGGGAACTCAGGGGGCAGAAAGAAATTTACCCGACTTTTCCCCATTGTGCCCGACTTACTGAAAACAATTTTCCGTGTAAGCTTTCGAAAGTTGTTGTTGGCGGGGAGGGGTCTAAGGGAAAAATTTTCCTATTTGTCCAAATTCCACGTTACTTTTACATATTTCTGGAATTTTCCAACTACTATGTCTTCTTTTCAAATTTATTTCCCTTAATTTTTAAAAGCCCGAATTACGTTTATAATTTGGCCGACTTCATTTTGACTGGGGGGCAATTGCCCCTCCCCTGCCCCTGCCCCGTACGCCTATGGCTAGTGGAATTATTTCTTATAATATCAAGTAACCAAAAAGGGTACGGGAATTAGCTCCAATTTACTCCGGATATTACTCCAATTTACTCGGAATGACCCAATCTTATTTTTATCCTTAGATCCGTGGGATCATGGATAAGAAAGCAAACATCAGGAACATGTCAGTTATTGCCCATGTTGATCATGGCAAATCAACCCTGACTGATTCCCTTGTCAGTAAAGCTGGCATCATTGCTTTGCAAAACGCTGGCGAGGATCGTTTTACCGATACACGAAAAGGCGAACAAGAACGGTGTATCACGATTAAGTCCACGTAAGTATGTCGGTTTATTCTGAAATTATGCCCCTAAAATGAATTTATAACTGAAAATATTAAACTTGTTGCGTCCGTTGACCAGTTCGTAGTCACTAGAGGAAGCCACGGCAGCAATGCACTGGTCTGTCGTCTTGCTTGACAATTTCATAGCGCTTAGGGGATGAGCCAATAATCAGAAATTAATTGATACAAGGATATAATCGGCAACTTTCAGGCAGATCGGTTATCAGCCGATCACATTGACTTATATGTCGGCGAAGGTAATTTATCAATCAATTTTTCCATTTTCTCTCAGATTTTAAAATATTTTTCTTATAAAGGCACATTGTTTGATGTTGTGTTTGTTTTATATCCAGGGCTATTTCTTTGTACTATGAACTGAGTGAGAAAGGCATGGATTACATTGAACAGGAAAAAGACGGTAATGGTTTCTTTATCAACTTGATTGACTCACCAGGTCACGTTGATTTCTCGTCAGAGGATACTGTTGCTTTTCGTGTCACTGATGGTGCTTTAGTTGTTGTCGATTGTGTTAGTGGTAAGTGCCAATGAATGTTGTCGATTGTGTTAAGCCCTGGGCAAACTAGGAAACGTTGTGGAAACATTTGTGATTCTCGATGTTTCCTCAAATGTTTCCCTGTTTGCCCACCCGTGGAAACATTGTTGCGGAAACAAAATTTGCTTCCCAAGAAGCAAAAATGTTCCCGGTACCAAATTCAGAAACATTTGCTGTTTCCCTATGTTCCTCACTAATGTTTCCTTGTGTTTGCCCACTCTGGGAAACATGGCGAAACATTGGCAGGAAACAATGTTTCCGCAACAATGTTTTGTAGTTTGCCCAGGGCTTTAGTGATAAGTGCTAACGAACGTGGCTGCAGAGCCTAACTCTCCAAATTCAAAATATTTTACTCCCTGTCATTCAATGGGT